GAATGAACTCTGAACAAAGGTTTTATTTTCCATGCAGGCCATACATGCTCGTTCCATGCTTCACCTCCTTGAAGAAACCCTAGACAGGGTCCAACTCATGACCTCCCCAGAAGTCCCCTTCGTGGTGGTCGACCTGGGTTGCTCCAGCGGCAACAACACCATCTACATCGTCGACGTCATCATCAAGCACATCACCAAGCGGTTCGAAGCCCTCGGGATCGAGCCGCCTGAGTTCTCGGCCTTCTTCTCCGACCTTCCGAGCAACGACTTCAACACTCTCTTCCAGCTCCTCCCACCCTTGGCCGCCCACGGCTCCGGCAGCATGGAGGAGTGCCTCGCCGCCGACCACCACCGCTCCTACTTCGCCGCCGGAGTTCCCGGGTCTTTCTACCGCCGGCTGTTCCCAGCGAGATCAGTCAACGTGTTCCATTCAGCATTTTCCTTGCACTGGCTCTCTCAGGTAAAGATCTTGTAAATATTCTAACTAAGTTCCATTTAGGTGCGTCTCTGCATTACTTGCTATCTTTTGCGGTGTATTATCACACATGACTAGCGTTAAGCACAAGCTAGGACAATAAAATCACGAAAGGATCCTACGAATTGTTAAATTTAAGCACAAGATTGTTTTGGAAACATCTTAATTAGCAAAGAAATTAAAATGGGAAGTGGATGTTCTAAGCAGTCATTGATGGCTGGCTCTATATAGCTTATGATATCGTTTTCTAGACGGTGAGTAGACTATATGAGCAAAACATGAACTCCTTTTTTCGGCCAAGTATTTGCGACTTTTCTGGTCAAAACTTGAAAAATTGGCGACTTTTCATGTAAAAAAATTGAAAAATTGAACGACCGTCAAAATTATCAGTTTATCACGAGAGATGGTTGGGTAAACGACAAAGGGACTCAAAAGGTCATGATGAGAGCTTGGAAGTCGTCGGCCTTCGAAAAGGATTTCCCACATGGATCGGACCAAAATGCTACCGACCGGGGCCGACGTTGGAAAAGCAGTTTTGGACTTTCAGGCTCAAACTCTGAAACTAAACAGTGGAAAGGCATTTGTTAATTATGCTTTCACTGCCTTGCTATAGTCAGCCTCTGGACCTCTTCATTTTGTTGATAAAAAATGATTTGTGATGCTTTGATCCATAGTTTTGTAGACAGATCTTCGATCGCCCTCCATCATTTTGAATCCCAGCCATTTGAACTGGAATTAGTGAAGTGCAACTTCGAATTGATCGCGAAACGACATGCGGTCATAAGTTTGATCGATAAGTTTCAGACCATTTTGTAGAACTACGTAATGTGTTGGTCAAGTTTTGAACGATGCTCCGGATGAAATGCATTCTATTTGTTTTTGCAAAGAACAAAACAAGATAAACCCTTAATTTTTTTATTTTTTTATTTTTATGACCCGGGAACCGCCGTACAGCCGACAGCCGGCGACGCAAACCCGGGGTGACGCTAGCGCAAGACCCACCACCACGGCGCCACACTTAAGAATCCCTAACGACTACGATAAACCCCTAATTTTCATTTCCATAAAGATTGTAAAGAAATGACTTGATCGTCTACACAGGTGCCGGAGGCAGTGATGGACAAGAGATCGCCAGCATACAACAAAGGGAGGGTGTTCATCCACGGCGCGAGCGAGATCACAGCAAATGCATACAAGAAGCGGTTCCAGGCTGATTTGGCGAGCTTCTTGAGATCAAGATCACCAGAAATGAAGCGGACCGGATCGATGTTCCTCGTCTGTCTGGGCCGGACTTCCGTGGACCCCGCCGACCAAGGCGGGGCCGGCCTCCTCTTCGGGACCCACTTCCAAGACGCTTGGGACGATCTCGTCCAAGAGGTAATCGAAAAACATCGCGTCGACATCCGAACTCGTGCTTTCCTTATGGGCTTGTGTGAACAGTTGGGAGTGCAATGTGCATTGAGTACTACTGCAATAAGGCTATGGTGATTGATTAGGTGTCGCCATGGCGTCATGAGACCGCATGATGAAATGTCAGCGACCATGATTTAGCTCTGTGAATTGTAGGCCATCTGATCTTGATCCGATTGTGGAGCTCTGCTGATCAGAAGGCCTGCAATATCATATCCGAAAGGCCAGTTTTGGCGGGCCACGCCACACCACACCATTGACCCACTATTGGAGACATTGTTACGAAAAAGGAAAAGGATAGAACTTTAGTCAAACGACAACGTGATCATGTGCTGGAACAAGACAAGAAAGTTTCATTTAGTTCAACGGTGATTATTGTCGGTCAGAAGATGCTGCGATGCGAAGGACGAATCGTAAGGAAAATTTTGTTGATAAGGTTGAGTGCAAGGATGCATCGAGTATGATCCTTTTCCTGTCCCCCCGGAAAAAAAGAAGATTTTTGTTGATAAAATTGCATTGTATAAGCCCATAACTAGTGTTCATGTAATAAAACGTCAGTAAATCTTGGGCATATTAAGTTCCATTTACGTATCAAAGTTTGGTAATTGTTTTGCATGCCTTTACTTAGAACTGACCAGTATGGATGTAATTACAGGGCCTCATCAGCAGCGAAAAGCGCGACAGCTTCAACATTCCGGTGTACGCGCCGAGCCTCCAGGACTTCAAGGAAGTAGTCGAAGCCGACGGCTCCTTCGCGATAGACAAGCTCGAGGTGTTCAAAGGGGGGAGCCCTCTAGTGGTGAGCGAGCCGGACGACGCGGCCGAGGTGGGCCGGGCCTTAGCCACCAGCTGCCGGAGCGTGGCCGGGGTCCTAGTCGATGCCCACATTGGTGATCGGCTCAGCGAGAAGCTGTTCCTACAGGTCGAGCGTCGAGCCACGAGCCACGCCAAGGAGCTACTAGAGCAGCTACAGTTCTTTCACATTGTTGCTTCGCTATCCTTTGCTTAGAGAAACAAACAGGGCTCTTGAAAATAGGGGAATTTGGGATTTCTCAGTACTTTTGTCTTTTTCCACTTTTCTGTGCCTCTCTTTTGGGTTAAAGTACTAACATTTTGCGTAGTGAGACTCGGTGAGAGAAGCAGGCAGCTTTCTTTCCTTCATTTTGACATTGTCTGTGTGCTTTTGTGTGATATTGATCCATACTGTAGTTATCTTCACAAATAATATGCGCGTGTTAGTGTCCCTGTGTTCCCTCTAATTCCATGCCAAGTGAATAATGGAACACTGATCTTATTTTGCTTCTTATGTGAATGATTCGTCAGGCCTTTAGTTGCTACCAACATAGCTTAAGTAATGCTTTGGTAAACAGCACAGCACTATTGTCTCATTCTCATTGTGTTAGAACACAAGTCTATAGAAAGTGCTCACTGCAGAGTACCGCGCATCTAGAGTGGGGGTCTCTTGAGGCAGTCATTACATAGGCTGAAAATTCAAATTCTATCACCGAGTGATGTTGCTGCTTCAATCACTTGCATCATGTCCCTCCACTTCTGGTGAAGAATAGATGATGATTTCATCCTTCTCTGGCAATCTGAAGCTGACCCTCTTCTTCGTCTTCTCACTTTGGCTCCGGCCAGAGGAAGAACGAGGAATCTCTCGCGCATCGCCCGACCCGTCCGCCAATTCACCATTGAGTTCCATGAGTAATTTGTCCTCCGAGAAACTTGACTGCCTATTTGAAGACGATTTGATATGGTCGAGCAACGCCGGGTGGACCCTGTTGGAGAAATGCTTGAGCAAGTAGGTTTCGCTATTTGCGGAGCTCTTCTCCGAGACCGGCGACGACAAGAGCCATTCTTCAAGGGTAGTGTACTGCCCATTGGCATTGGGATCATCTGTAATGATTTCTTGCTCATTTTGCTTCTTGAGTGGATGGAAGTTCCTGCTGCTCCTTTTCGTGCTCAATAAGCACTTGTCCTTCATCGAATTAATGACAGAAGTTGCTAAACCCCCGTGTTTTTCTTCCTTATTATAATCACTTGCCTTGCGTAATCTCTCAGGGCTTGATGGTTGCCCAAAGCAACATTGCCCAATTCCCATCTCTTGATCACACAATGGAGAGCAATGCGTCAAATTGTACGTGATACTGTGAGTTTGTGAGCAAGTGATTATCATCTATAGGTTACACTATATAATACGCTTAAGACGGGTTCATCAAGAAGGAAGGATTGAGGAGTATTGGCCTAGTTCTCATCGGTGCGAAAACATGGTTTTTGAGTGAATCACGTAAAACTAATAATTTCCATCTTGGGTTGGTTTCATCTTTGAATTCATTCGTAATTATCGATCCTTTGATCGTTTATGGAGTTTGTCAGCTACTGGAATTGTAAGCACTTCGGGATAACTCATCGAAAGATACATGGAGTTGTGGGGAAGAAGACAAAAGACACTTGGGCTCATCCACCTCTATGCCGGAGAAGACCTGCATCGCAATCTCTGGTGACAAACTCAAAGGTAGGCTGAGCACACAAAGTTATTCCATAGATAGACCCATTTCGGTAACATTGAAGACGAAGGATCGTGCCTTGAGATTACTTCATGAGCACGAGATGCAGATGAGGCCTCAGTTGTCTACTGTCGAGTAGCGTAGCTGCAATTTTGGCCCATTCGATATGACACGTACTACCACTCATTCAGAAGGGAGACCTATATCATGGGATGCTCTTGCTAACACCACCAACACACGCCAAACTGTCGAAAAATTTGAATGACAGCTCGAAAGCTGAGCTCAACAGGAAGAACTGATAGAATGCTGAGTTCGAGCTGAAAAGAAATTGCCAACTTCCATTCTGGACATATTTGTTACATTGTTGGATATTCTGTGCATCAGTAAAATAAGATGACAAAACATCGATAATAGTTCAAACACGCGCTCCTAAGAGAGTCGGGGACAAAACATAAGCTCAGGCATAAGCAAAATCCTACTAGTACCCGCAACCACATATTGACGTTTAAATGCATGGAGAGGCTCACAGCAGCCCAATTTGTTGGCGGTGCCAACTGAAACAGGGACTGGTGAACTGTCATGACTAGAATATTGTATCCTGCAAAATGTGACCACAAATGAAAAAATTTAAGATGTCATTATACCATTCGCAGCTCTATAACAGAGTCCTCTCTTGAAGTCACTCGCTAATATTACACATATCACATCCTAGCTAAAGAAATTTAGCACAACGATTGGTGAACAATCTACGAATCTCTATGGCTAGGGAGATGGTGGAAATGGTTCAGTGCCAGAAACATGTGAAGCAGCATCTTCCTTCGTCATGGCAACATAGTTAGCCGGGGCAGATAGCCTAGCATCCCTTTTTGCATCCTTAGAATTCGACCTGCTACCATTTTGCGGATTCAGAGATAATCGTCTGGTAGGAGTTCCATTGGCACCTCCATTTGCACGAGGGCCTACAACCTTCTTCGTCCCAACTGGTCTTGCGGGGCTTGGTCTTGAACCAAACATTGCCTCTTGTTCTGTGCTCTGCTGCTCATGGAACTTTTTCTGGTCCTATTAATGTACAGATTATAGAGTCAAGAAGATTCAAAATGGAACCAAACCTAGCAAACAAGAGCAGATGAGCAAATACAGAGCTTGTTTTTTATTTAATATTGAAGCCATGTGTAATGGTTTATCAGCTAAAAGTATATGCATGATCAAGCCATCTTATTTAAGGTGTAACTTACTCTCAAGCGCCGCTTCTCCTCCTCTCTTTCATGCCTCAGCATGGTATATTCATCAAGCATGGCGAGGAGAGGAACCCCGTCATATGTGAATGACATGCCATGATCTTCCTCCCATGCTCTAGTTTTTGCAACCAAGGAATCAACCAAAGCTGCACATAGACAATCATCTCAGTATCTGGTTGAAGTGTCTTAAGTTTCTATTGTTCATGGGGTCTGACAGGCATCACTCTTAAATCTCCCCTTATGACACCACAAACTTCAGTCGTGTACAATGTCAAATTTAAGTACAGAGGAATCAGTATATTAACTTCATTTTTATGAGGCCAAAATCTAGAAACCCCTCAGTGAAATTTGTCGCAATCAACAGCATCGCTACTCAATTCACAATGATCAAGGAACAAGAGAAGCAGCCGTCATCCTTATTGGGGCAGAGCCAGGGGATTCAGCCAATCGGTTCAGTGGAATAATTATACAGTGTATTCTCAATGAGTTGGAAATTTTATGAAGTTTTGACTACATAATTTGTATGTAATTGTGCCATACAACAAGAAAGATGTTATAAGCGTGTAAAATATTACAGGTAATCATATATCAAACATAAAATAAGTATAACTGCATTGGTAGTATTCTCTTGTAGGAGTAAATCAGAAAGAATGGAGTTCTTTGTTACGGGAATCAGGGTCAAATGGGTCATCTCGTAAAAAATTTTGAGGTGATATCTTTTTTGCTTAGAGAAAAACTGAATATAGTTAAAGAATGCATGAACTTCAGTGGGGTCAATTGCCCCCACAGATGAGCACGACCCACCATCCCGGACATCCTAGACCCTCCTTGATTTGGGTAAAAGAGAAAAAGCAGAGATCTAAGAATCAGCAAGAAAATCTTGACTAGACTTAAATCTAACATGCATTCTCTAACATATAGACGTGCACTTTAGAGAAAATCTTACTATCCCCATGATTGTTGTCCAAAGTAGTCATCATGCTGCTTTAAATAAATAGTACCGGGTATTTTGTTGACAAGGATCCGGGCTTTTTCAGCACGCTTGAGATTTATGTGTGCACCTCTGCTAGCATTGTACCTGTTATCATCCTGCTCACGAAGGCAATTTTGTGAGTGGAGGAATCATGTAACGAAAGCATGGTGCAGATATCTGAAACCACTCTCAGTCAATATTCTCCTCTTTGTTATAACTTACGACAGAAGGACAATTAAAATCCACCCAGGACACCGATTAGATACAATGAGATTCGCTCTCAATGAAATATAAATTCCTATACTGGGGTGCACCCCACAGACATTATAGTTTTTTGAATAGCTAAGAGAAACATTAGAAAGCTAGACAATCAGATGCAATGACAGTCTAAATGATTCAGTTGAATAGCTTTTGTTTATAGCAACACAAATTAATGACTTTTCATGCAATGAGTTTGGCCATTGATCTTATCCGAGCAACTACTAGAGATTTTAGAAGGGTGTCTTATCACTGGAAAACTCAAGCATGCACATGCCGTGGATAGGTAGAGAGAGAGTACCCGGTTATAGTCTTCGAGCCAACTCTCCTCTTCACAGGCTGACATCCATTTCTCAACCTTGTCCAATATTTCTTTCCTGCTGAGAGCTTCTTCCCGTGCTTTTACAATTTGATTGTCCAAGTCTGTTATTAATTCGGCAGGCTCAACTTTCCCGGACTCTATGAGCGCCATAATTTTTTCTCTAGCGGCCTCAGGATCTACTTCCACGTGTGCACGAGCAAATATTTCTTCAAGCTCAGCTTGTTTCTTAAATGCAATTTCCTGCATCCTGCTAGCTTTAAGCTGATCAAGCCTTTCGACTTCCACCTCGGCCTTAGTCACAGGAATGAGTAATTTTAGTGTGAGTGAGCTAAGACCCATCAAATACTCTAAAGTGAAGATTATATGTATATGGGAATAAATTGAAATTTCATATACCTGCTCAATCAGATCCATAGCAAGAGCACCAGGGGCAGTTACTTCATCAACAGAAGCTGAGATGTTGCAGGTCACATGGTCAAACAGTTGACGCTCTTCTTCGGAAGTGTCCATCAGATTCCATAGATCTATTAACTGGGTGGCTAATTCTTGAAGCTGCACAGAGCATAGGCATATTTAAGACTTTGAATTCAATTTATTGGACAAGACAGCACACATGGAATCTCGTCAAAACAACAGAAGGAATGACAAGGCACGCTACAAAACTATTAAGTAATATCCAACACGCATGCATTCATTCTATAGAAGATTGATGTAGGCACATCCTAGATGCATAGAATGTATCGAGAAATAATACTTGAGTTAGAGATGCTATAGACTTTTCATTGACAATGACTACACATTAACATTGAGGAGAACCATAGAGATTTACTAACAAATGTCTAGTTCCTCTTGCAGCTTTTCCACGACCATCAGGGGTATCAGAAGTCTACCTGTAAACTGACGATAAATGAAGTTCACCCCAAAAATAATAACCTCCCTTGAGAAGAAATAATATGCCATACATTTTTCCACCACAGTGTGATATTGAGGCGAAGTTTCTTTTTTTTTATTTTATCACCAAAAGTTCAATTTTCCTAATCGACTGGCTGCATACTGTCAAATGACAATGCTCAATAGTCCAACAATCAAACATGAAGAGAAGTTTAAAAAATACCGCATTGAAAGAAAGGTACATAGTTACCTTATGCAGCCTCTGCTTCTTATCTTCTTTAAGAGCTAATACTGTCTTAGCCAGCCTAGATAGTGTCTCGTTGCTAATGCTTTTGGATTGTGCACTGGCGGAGTCATTTAAGCTTGGGTGAACTTCTGTAATTGAACTGAAGAAATCGATCCCCAGGACCGAACATAGATCATGCACAGTGCTCACAAATTCAACTACTTTGCGCAACCTATCACTCTGCATCATATAACAGATAAAACCCATCAACTTGATGCGACGAGGGGAAAGAGAAACTACGGTTGAGCAATATCTATATTAAAGAATATCTATGAACTACCTCGCTGGAACCGAGCTCTTACCTTCTCCTTTTGAAGTTCTTGGAGTTGGGCTTGATACTCATTCAGCTTCTTCAGTGATAGATCAGCCTCATCAACTTCAGGAGCTGGCTCAGTGACGCTCGAGTTTCCAGCAATTTCACCACATATCCTCTGAATCTGAGACTGCACATCAGAGAATTCCTTAAGTCTTTCCTCTTTCTGTTTCCAAAGCTGCTCCAGTGCTGGTGCAATTGATGCAAGTTGTTCCTTGATTGTTCCTGAAGCTTTATCAGGCTGCAATACCAACCAAACAACGTAAGGGATTTCAAAAATGCAGGTAACACCACAAAATAATCGCGTGAATCAACAGGAAATAACAGCATATTAGAGCTTTTAGTGTTACTGCTTTTCTTAACCAGCTTAAGAAGGATACAGCCATGCTACTCACAATTCCGACCACGCTTTTCTCTCCAAGAGCTGATAGAAGACTGGAGAGTTCAAGCTTGGCATCTGAAAGAGTCTGAAGAAGTTGGGCCCTCGACTTGTCAGCCTGGTCAACATTTCTCTTGTACACATCTAAACATTCCTGCTCTATTTGAAGAAGCAACTTATCCCGCTCCTCATCGCCTTCGCCAACTTCGTCCCATATTTCCTAAAGCAATTCAGCATGTGAGTCTGAGCTTCTTCTTACCAAAGAACAAGTACCCGATAGGCAATGAGGAATCGAAACCAACAAGGCGCATCTGCGAAAGTAGAGTACCTGCAGCTTCTGCAACAATGAACCGCAAGTAATTTCCCCGAGAAGAGGGTCCCGACCACTCGCCACCGCCATTCACGTTACTCCCACAATCTAGCTGCGCCACATAGATGGTTAACAAATCTCAACTTTAAAGAAATACGGGTTCCATTTTTCAGGGAAAAAACATTCATCAGAACGACACACGCAATCTCCACTAAAGGCATGATATGAGCACCATAACAACCACGACTCAAGCAAGAATTAAGATTGCTTTTCCCTTTCCATTCCCTTTTTTTTTTATAGCAGAACCATAAGAAGTATGGAGAAATCAGATTATAGCTTTCCGTTTTCTTATTTCCCAGCCACATCCAACTGAAACCCATCTCCTTCTCCTCCTCCCCCTCCTCCTCCAAATTTTACCAGCAAATCACAGACCATGTCAGCCGCACTTCACTCGCTCACATTTATCTTGTAACCCACGCGACGATCAAACTAAAACATGAACATCAATCTCTCCCTCCATATCAAACACCGACTTCCACTCCAGCAGTAACTAAGCTAAACCCTCACTCCGACCAGCTAGCAAAGAGCGAGCAATCCGAGACCACTAGCGCCACATTTCACCCGACAAGGCAAAAGCAAACGACATCACAGTCACTTGGATCTCGCCCGTCGTTTGAAAATCAGCACGGAACACGAAAACAGACACGGTCACGAGCACGACGAGCTGCATTTGCAGCACGCGAGCCAAAACAGAGAGGGGTTCCGCGAAGCGGAGGGGAATGCCTTACCCAGATCGTCCTCGGAGCTGCGAAACCTGCGAGCTTCGTGGCTTCAGATCTGAAGCGCTTCTTCTGCTGCTCACGGCGTCACACTACTGCGAGAGAGGCTCTAGAGAGAGAGAGAGAGAGAGAGAGTCACTGTTGATGGAGAGAGAGCGAAGGAAGCAAACAAAGGACAGAGAGCAAGAGACTTAGGGAGATGGAGAGAGAGTGTGTGTTGTGGGGCCCTTTTATATATGTGATGGTCTATGTTCTCGTCGCTTTATCAACAACTACTCTTTTCTCTTTAATATAACGAGTCTTGCCAAAATATATATATCGGAAAACGCCACAAAAAAATCTCAAATTATGATCGTTTCGACTTATTTTACTCTAAGCTTGTACCCGTGTAAAATTGTTAGATGAATTTTCAGTAAAAACGGCATCGTTTTTATTTCAATTAAGTCACGTATGAGTCATGTCAACACCGTTTACAGTATGCCTTTCATATTGGCATTTTCTTTACGATTTACATTAACAGAATTTTGGCGGAGAGTAAATATGTCAGATAAATAGAAATTTCGGGTTTTTTAGTGATGCAGAAAAAAGTTTAAGGCAAACATGTAACGGCAATCAGCATAGTTTAGGAATTTTTATTTTTTTTTTTTGGCTTTTTAACCAATGTTCTATGTAGCAAGAAACGAACAGGTAATCTTATTACTATGACCGCGGCTCGCGGGTTAATTACGGACATTGACACGACACCGCCGCGCGTGGGGGGGAGGGAGAGAATTGACCGGTCTGTCCCTCCGCTTTGACCGGGAGCGTCGATGGTTTGACTTGACCGACCTGGTCCCCCGCTCCTCCTCTCCGCTTTTTCTTCTCCCATTTTTTTTTCCCTTTTTCTTTTCCTTTTCCAAGAAAAAGCATTCGTGTTTTTCCATTAAATTAATAATTTAAGAGCAATTCTGTAGCGGGAGCGCATCAATATCGTGCCATGTCTATTGTCTTCTATCCAACTTAAGAAATTTAAGCGCGCTTTACAGCATGGGGGCAAGCATTTGAATAGCACGCGCACTCCCTAATCTTCTAATTTGGTCTTCGTGCTGCAATAAGAAGTGTTGCGATGGCATTTGAATGACGGGCCGTATGGAGAATTGCGAAAATTAGTCACGAGTTAACCGTTGTCACTTCGATTAAAACTGGGTATATGTCACCTCCGTTCTCGAGCTCTTAAAGAAGCTGTAAAAATAGAATCGATTGCCTGTTAGCCAGTTGATTCGGGGTATCTACTAATGGTTTAGCCTTTTTAACCCAAAAAACAATGAATACAATCGAAGACTGATTGGTGCAAAATATTCGATTAGAGAAGGGAGAAAGGTAAAAAAGTGCAATACGATAGTTAGGAGATGAGATATATAAATCTTACAAAAATAATATGTCTATATCTGCTAAACTTATACCGAATAGCAAGTCGCGAGGCGCCGCAACTTCTCCCAACCACTCGACGTTTCCTTGCAACAAAATGTGTTCGGAGGGGTATTTCTTCAGCATACCATTTCAAACTCGGGGAGCATTTGCAATTCCTTATGTAATCATTCCTCGAAAACTTGACAATCATCAAAGACCGAGTATAAGCAATTCTCATCGGTGGATCTTAAAAATTTTAAGTATTTATATGTTACGATACTTTGCGAAGAAGAAATTATAATAGAATGCACGTGATTACCATCTGTTGCGATAGAGGAATCTCGATGGGCAGAGGAAGCCCCCTCAACTTTGTGACTATGCAAGAAAGAGACATGTTAATGACATCTGCGTTCCTTAATTCTTCTTCTTGAAAAGGGACAAACTTAGCTAAAGAATATAAAAGGGATAACAACACAAATAATCTATAAAATTTAACTCAATGTGTAATGTAACCCTTGAACTTTTAATTTATTCAATGTGATCCCTAGACTTTTGTTACATGTTCAATTTAGTCTCTGAATTATATGAAAATGTTCAATATTATTTTTCAATTAATTCAAGTTCAAAAACAAAATTAAACAAATTGAAAGTTTATAGATGATATTGCACAATAAACTAAAGTTCGTGAGCCATATTGAATAAATTAGAAGTTCAAAAATCATATTTCACGTTGAATCGAAGTTTAAAAATCATTTATGCCGTTTTCTCGTCGGAAAAAGAAATACAGAAAAAATTGGAGGGGAAGTGGTAAAGGGAGCGGGGGGGCAATTACGTACTTTCGGATCGGGGAGGAGGAGGTCACGTGCACGTCGACATCGGGGGCGTGCCAAACGAGGAGGAATGGGATCTCATGCATTTCTTTTCTTTCCATGACGATGCTAACTGCGAAATGAAAAGGTCGTGATCATTGGCTAAGGTGTTATCATGATCCACACACATGGGCCTCCACTCCCATTCTTTAATTCGTTCCAACACCAACCTAAATGTCCTGAAATTCAAAGTGGATTCGATTCAAAAAATTTCGGAGCAGTTTCTAATTTTTTGAAAAATCGAAGGGAAACCTTATGCCCCACGTGCCCCGCTGCATATGATTGGCTACAATTCTTGCGTTTTGCACCTCATTTTTTTTAAGATTATTTTCAAGAAAATGCGTAATTTCCAGGAAAGAGAATGATGTAGATAGTTGATCTTAAGACACTGGGTTGGTTGGTGGGTCACATGTTTTTTGTCGCGTAAGCGCTATTGAGACGTGCCATGAGGCTGCTACGCAATCATTAGAGAAAACTTTGTGCACTATATCTAGTTATGTCTAGTTATGTCAAGTGAGATATTTCCATGGCTTATTCAGATGTGCTTGCGTAATGAAACCTACCTTCGAAGAGTAGGCCATGCCTGGGTTGGAGTCAAGCTCGGAATGGAGACCAGAGAACGCCGAGCGCTTGGCTTGACTGACTCTCGAGATGTGTGACAGGACAGTCCCGTGAGGTCTTCGTTCCGGAATGGAACTCGGTAACTCTTGACTCTGTGTTTCCCTGAATCGCCGAGCGTATTCTCTGATCGTAATTCCTAAATACGACCGACCATACATGCATGTATCATAAAGATCCGTGACGAGCTAGTGGAGCGCAACTCTCAATTCCAAGGCAGCAATTGAAGGGATCTGTTGAAACATTGTCCCGCGTCATTTGATATCGGATCTTAAATACTCTTTATATTTATGTGATTTTTCTTCATTTATCAGCTTAAATTTTTTGATTGAACTTTCTAACAAGCTTCTGATTGAGTCTCCAATTCGTCAGCTAAATTTAGGTAGATGCAAAGTACACCCAAGTTTCACCATCGGTCTATCTGTTCCAACGTTTTTCACCTTGGAGGGACAATGCCCATGTACTGCTAACAGTACCCATTATTGCAGCTTCTAAGGAGTCCAGACTCCAGACAGTTCATTGAAGAACCTCAGCAATTGCGACCGTGTCGGGCTTCTTCGGGTCGGACGAACAAGGCCCGCAATTACATCCCCACAAAAACGACCCGACAGCGTCGTCGATGCGCGAATCCAGCCGATCATGGACCTCGAACGCCTCGAATCTGCACACCACAAGGCGAAGAAGTCCCCGGAACGTGACTCGATTCGGAACCTCCGATGCCTAAGTCGGTCACAGAGGAGGAAATAAGTCGAGCGAAGTGAGGAGCCAATCAAACAACTTGACCGTATCGCACTAGAATTGTATTACGGCGGATCCATATTTACCGGCTCGGCGGAGGGAAATCTTATTAATACGCATGTGACCCATGGACACCAGACCAGCAATCCTATATCGAATGAAATCTATTAAGATGCGATTAACGAAACTAACTACGATGCAGAACATGGAAACTCGTACTTACATGTGGGTCTAATGCATGCCTCGTCATTTCTTAATATTAGACTTCAAGTCTATAGACAATACTAAATTAGCTCCTAATTGCATGGTTGAACACAATCTCGCTCATGCCCGATTAGACCTGTCAAAATGGGTCATAAACCCATTTCTTAACCCATATATTAATAAATGGGTCAAAATGGGTTAGTTATATTTAGTAAATGGGTCATAAATGGGTAGAAGTTTTATATTGATGTTAAATGGGTCGTAAATGGGTCGCAAATGGGTCATAAATGAGTTTACAACTGATTTAAACTCAACGCATTTCTCTCGCCCTCACTCAATCTTGCACTCACTCATTCCGCACTCTCATTTCAGCTTGGATATGAATTTTGTTATATTTAATTAAATATGAAAGTGTTTTAAAATTATGGGTCTAATCGGGTATGGGTTGGTCGGGTCGGGTATGGGTCAAGAAAATTGCATTGCGCATAAATGGGTAATGAACGGGTTAATGGGTCAATTTGGATCGAACAATTTATGACCCGATCCAAACCCGACCCGACCTACCCATTTGACAGGTCTATGCCCGATCGATTTGTTCTCCTTCCCTTATAAGATGAGACAGTGAAGGGCCAAGCTGACGGCGAACCAGAACCTCCATGCCCATCTATTGGAGCATATGGGCCCAATCAGTGTGTCCATACACGTGTTGAACCCAAATCACATGGGTCAAAACCCCACAGCATTACATTCCCTTTGTGAGTTGCCATCAAGGGGTCGGTTTGTTCGAATAAATCTATTTTCGAGAAATTATTTTTTGACTTTTTCGATGTTTGGATGTGTAAAACTTGTCGAATTACGGAAAAGGTTTTCCACAAACCGAAAAGAACAAGCTTAAATTGGGGAGAATGACTTCCTCTTTTGATAAGAAAGAAATCATATTTCCTAAATCACCGAACATATGAAAACTAATTATTTTTCTTGAAAATAATGTCCATGGATTCAGACCCAAAAAAAAAAATGTCCATGGAAAATATTTTGTTTCATCATGGAGTTTTCAATTAAACAAATGGGCTACATTTCATAAAGAGACTTTGGATTGTTGATTATTAAACCATCCCTTCGATTAAAGGTTTAAATTTTTAGCGTTGGCAGTGTCACGTAAGACCTCTGATATCCACATCAGAGATTTTCGGGCTTGAATTGGTGGGGTGGATTGAATTGGCACAAATGTAAAAGGTTTAGAACTAAATTGGTTCAATTGAAAGGTTTGAGATTGAATTGATACCAATGTAATAGGTTTAGAAATTTTTTATTACTTTTCCCTGTATATCCCATTAGTATTGGAAAAGATCCTTCTTTTGATTTTCCTTGTTAGAACATTTGCGTATATTCAGGAAAAACCCATCTTTTCTTGCCATTTTTAGACTCACTTTAATCTGGGGAGTTGAGCAAATATATAAAGTATTTCAGTTAGCTCTAAAAATGAATTTGCAAGTGGCAATCAACTAGCTCAATCCAATCTAGTTCCTCGATGGACAGGGTCAGTTCTCGATTTCATTGGTCAAGAATCGATCCCGTTCAATCCGGTTCCCAATTCGAGGGTGAGAACCCACTCTGATAAATATTTTGGATATTGAAATATACTCGTCATGAAATATATCACTATTGCATACGAATGCTTTTTAGTTAGTGTTTTGAAAACACTCGTTAATGAGATGTGTTCATAGTACGAGGTGGATGAAAAAGCTAGTTAGTACTGTCAGCATCAAGCAACTGATTAAATGCCTGTCATAAACTAACTACACTTTATCATCATAACTTCTTTCACTGTTTATCAGAACCGATCCTTCGCTGCTGCTGCAACACCGCACGCACGGCAGAAATTTTCTCTCCTTTTATATCGTTTTCGAGCGTCCGGGGGCGCACGGAAAAAAGGGAATGGAAGGAGCCGGGTCGAGACTGAGCCGAGCCTCCTCCCGGTACGGCCCGACGGCCACCGTCTTCAACGGCCCCGTCCGGAAGTGGAAGAAGAGGTGGGTCCACGTGTCGCCGCCGCCGTCGGCCGCCCCCGCCCACCACCACAAGCCCCACCACTTCCAGCCCAACAACCACCACCACCCCTCCTCCACCCTCTTCCTCTGCCGCTGGACCCCCGTCTCCTCCGGCGCCTCCGCCGCCCCCGACGGCGACGACGGCTCGGGCTCGGCGGAGGAGACCCCCAGGCGCAAGTATCGCTACACTCCGGTACGTTCTTCCTCTCTCTCTCTCTCTCTCGCTCTCTCCGCGTCTCTCTTTCGTTTGTACATGTTCGTGTGTGTATGGAGCTGGGGTTTAAGTGTTCTTACTGTGGAAATTTGAACCTTTCTTCGGGAAGATGAAGCGAGGTTTTGATTTTTCCTTTTGATGGGTTATGGTTGACTTGGTGGGGTTTGTCTTGCTTGAGAACTAGGGTTTAAGTCGCGCTTCATGTGAGCTCAACTCCTGCTTTCAGTCATGGCTTCGTAGCAACCACAGTTTAAGTCGTGCGTTATCTGAGCACAAGCTTTGTCGACTTCAAATTACCTAGCAGCCATGATTTTGGACTGTGTAGAAAGCTTCGAGCTTGGTACTACTCGCCCTGCTTTCAGTTGTCGCTTTGTTAAATTTTAGTAAATTTCAGGAGAAAATTTGGAAGCAGTTTGACTTTGATTTGTGAAAACTTGGGTGTGTTAAATCGATCGAACACGAGCTCTGTTCTGACCCTGTTTTAGTTGATACTCAGAGCAATGATTTTCAGGTTTAAATTTGTGTATGGAAGTGTGGTCTCGCTGTCTTATATGCGGAATGGAAGTTTGCTTTTGCTTCAAAGGTTTCAATGGCTTCTTGTTTATGATTCGAAGTAGTCGCGTTGTGGGTATTTGATCTTATGGTGTTTGTATAGGCTTGGAGGTTTCTTATAAACGTCAGTTGGGTTCAGAATATTATGATATTGGGTATCGCTTATTATGTAGATGTTTACGTTCGCTGTTTTTAATGAAGGTGATTTCTCGTGCATGTCAATTCAGCATCTTTTCTATCTTTATTTCCGTAGTTTGCTTAATTTGTCTTTCCTGTATAGATTGCTGTGCTTGAAGATCATACTAAGACAGCTGCAAGAAAAGCAGATGGAGGCAAAATAAGTGAAAACTACCCAAGCACTGGTGGACCTATGGTCGAGAATGACGATATATATGGGAAAATTGATCATTCTGAGGATGAGGAGAAAGAAATTAAGGTGATTCCCATTAATGAATGTACAGTAAACTGTTGTTTTAGTAGGCCTTCTGTTCCCTCTGTCGCCATAATTTTCATTGCGTTGGGTTGAGAATTTGTGTTATTTTGAGTGTTGCTCTGGGGATGTTGAGTATGTCGAAACATTGAAGTGCTGAGAGGTTATCCTCTTGTTTACGGAGAAAAAGTGATGGGACAAGCGAATCATATTTCAATCACATGGAAGTAGGCTCATGTGCCAATGATGATCAGTCGCATAAGTTTTGGGAGTTGAAATTATTTAAGCAATTCTAGTTACGTACATACATACCCGTGTTTTTCCCATTTTACCAAAAAAATGAAGCGAAGTTATTTCCAGTGGATGAAGGGTGAGAAGGGAACTTGGATCAGAAGGCTACCAGTAACTTGAAAAGTGTAAAAGTAATACACAAACAGCACATTTTCTTTTCCTGCCAACTCATGCGCGTTGAAGTTTTAGCTTTATATGTAGAACAAGACTTCTTTAAAGTGCTGGTGCCTTATCTAGAGTCGAAAACCCAGCTATACTTTCTTAATCACGAAGCCAGGAACTACTTGCCAGCATCCACCATAGAAGATAGGATTAGCAGAACTTTGCTCTTGCCTCCAAATAGTGACATTCTTAAAATTGCGATGTTGTTAATATGAATAACAATGGATCTTCTCTGCAGAATTCGAGCAAGGGCGGTTTAGATTTGGGTGTGTCTCTGGATGAACCTGAGAATGGTCATGATGACGTCGAAGACAAGAGCACAACCATGCCGAAAACAACCACGAGCGGATTCTGGTCAATGGGATGAGGCTTTTCCACTCGATGGGAGATGGAAAACAGCAAGTGAGAAGCTGTTGTGCTGTGTTGTAATGGGGTAAGATTTGGCAACTGATTTCCTGTCTAGATAATAGCTTGAGTTTGACATCTAGGGCATCTGTATCTAGTAGGTGTAGCATAGTCAGTATGTATAAATCCACCGAGGCATACTCGAGTTGCTCCTGTAAATATTTTGCTGGGCAATATGTGCTCCTCTCTCGCTCTCTATCTCTCTTGATCGATCGATCGATCGAAGTGTGATATATGTCATGAGTGGGTATCAATGATCTATTAGTTTTGGTTCCATGCTCCGATGATCTTCACCGGAAGAGTTAATCGAGATGGACTGTGTAGGCAGAATTGAGAACATGCTTGTGTATATGATGGCCGTTTTGGTGCTGGGGAAGCTGGTGGCAAAACGAGTACTAATGCTGTCCGTTGGCCCAAACACTTGAATTTTCTATTTCAAACAAAAGATGAACCCAGATCAGGAAAGTACTCAAGAAATGACGGAAATTATGTGCTCGACCACAAGCTATAGAACCATGAAGAACTAGTTTCGCAGAGTTTCTGGTAAAAATGACGCGGGTGAACTGCATCGCACGTTTAAGTTGCAATTTGTGTGATTCAAACTATGAGAAGACAGCCGAACATTCTCCTCGTAGATCTCTTTGATTCTGTTCAAGCCAATTCGCACACAAGCTTCTGATCCCAATATAAATGAGAGAGGAGGACGAGTTATTGTTTGTTATCTACTACAGATCGATTACTAATTATCCAGATCCTTCTTTTCCGTTGGGTCCATAGACCATTTCTTTTCCCATCAACCCTCCGAGAAAATACACCACAAGCACACTTGAACACAACATAGTATGATTATTGACGTAACAAGTATCAAAATTTTGAGGCATGAAAGTGCCATTATATCGTCGTACATATCCAAACTGAATTGTGTAATGCCGCAAGTTAATGGGGAAAGATGAATCGACATCCTCTGCACTGTATTCAAGATCCTCCTATAAGTCCGTTCTCCTCTAACGATCAGGAGAAAGCTCCAGACATGATGTAATCAAGTTAAGTGTCTCCACATTGATTGAGGCTTCCTGTCAAACTACAAACCCCATGCCTCCTAAAGCTTTTGCAGAAGCTTAAGAGCCTTTCTCAGCTGTTGCATCATTTTCCTCCGCTTGAGTCACACCGACCTCCGCAGGACGAAGAACTCGGTCGTAGAGCATGTAACCAGCCTGCAGCATGCAAGAAAATATATCAACATTAAAACAGCAAATTGACCAACCAGCTTTATCCCCATCTTTAAAAACAAACCTTCCCAACATGAAAATCTAAATAACTACTTAGGCAACCTAACCAGATAATGATAGAATAGAGCCATTATACAACTAATACTAGGCTCAAGGCAATGATGACTGTCTCCTGCATAATTTTACTGGCGACATGAGGAAAAACTGATTTGGCCCCAACCAAGAACAGGAGAGTCTATTCCTAACCGAAGCTACCTAAGTGTCAAATATGGACGCATTAAAGATGATAAGCTTGGTCTGGCCACACTAATGCCCTCTTGAGACTGCTTGAGACTACTGTTGAAACATAAACTGGGAGGAATTCAAATAATAGCACCATATATATAGTCGGACATAATTCTGTATTTGCTATGACGATTGCATAATCCTTGCCAAAACCACGGTTGAGCTTTGTCTTGTAAGAGAGAATCCATGCATCTTAGGCTATAGAGGACCAAACTACAGAGTCCACCAAAGATGCCAATGAGAAAATGCAGTGATTATTACTTCAGCATTGACCATATTAGGCTCGTAACTCAGTTTCTGAACACACAGGCTTAACGTATTGCAAATTAAACTTGACGTAGTCAACTGGGTCTTCAAGTTGTGAGGGTCTTTCTAGGTCAACTCTGAAACCTTTCATAACAAATTTCAGGTTTTTGCTTCATTATTCCAGAATTACAGTAAGTATGGAGTAGGTCATCTCATAAGATTAAAGCTAAGAAATGACATCTTATTTGCTGCTCCTTTAGGCAAAATAACTGAAACCAGCGATATAATGCAGCACAACTATAGTTCATAAGACATCATACTTTTTCTTGCATTTGAAACAAATAGAAAGGAAAAAGATCATCTTTTATTTGGCTTTTCACTCCCTTCTATGAACCTTCTACCTCCCTTTTTTCCCTGTTTCAGCCTGTATGTCTGCGAGATGACATGCATTGGGTGGATTTGGGGCAGGGGTAGGGGCACAGAGCAGAAAGAAATGCAAAATCCAGGAAAAAATTGCTGAAAACAGTTTTCCAATTAGAAAGTACCACTACATAAAAAGAGAGAAATGGAGTGAGAAATATACCTTTAGCACAGCAGCAACAGTGCCTGGGGGCTTAGAACTGTCTGGCATCTGGAATACTGCATTATGCCTATGTGGGTCAATCGGCTCATTAGTAGGATCATATTTTTCGATGCCGTGTTTCTTAAATACCTGGCAAAATAAAAGTAAACCTCAGCTACATGTATAAACCTGAGACTGCTGTGGAAGTAGCATATGTCATGCTGGGTAGTGAAGTAGCAGTTGTGTTATGCAGAGATCAACTGAACTGTTCCATAACAAGATCTTAGCATGAGGAAATGATAGAGTCTAAATGAAAGGGTTCTCTCCTCCTTTGCCGACGAAGATACTGACATGTGGCACTCATTTTGGATAAATCACACAGAAGCCCGGAATATGTGCAGTTGGGTTGCTTTGTAATGAAGCCCCTCGAAAAGAAAGAAAAGCCTACCTCAACAAGCTGCTTCTCCGTCATGTCAACGCCTTCTAGAAGAGTTCTTAAGAGAGGCACTGCTCCATCACCATCCTTTGCATCAATCTTAGAGAAGCTTTCTTTGACAACCGAGGATGCTCTCCCCAAGTTGTCTGCAACATCCAATAAATTTTTAGCAAAATTCTGCAGAAAATTCCAAATGAAACTTCTTGAGTACCACTTATGATAAATTAGTGAAACGTTAAGTCGATAGCAATGACCATGTATACCATACCTGTACAGCGTATTTCTTGGAATTCTCAGCTTCCCGCCTGGTTCTGTCCATCACATTCTCCATCTCTGCATAACTTCGAAGGACTTTATCTTGCATTCCTTCAATCTCTTTGTGCTTCAACTTCAAAAGTTCTTCCTTCTCTGCCACAAGTTTTGCCAAGTCATCCATAGATAGTTCCTTCTCACCCTCCGATTCTGAATCTGAAAAGGCCGTCCTTTTTGCAGCTTTTCTCCTCGTCTTATTAGGTTCACGAGCCGCTTCTAATCTGGTGCCTGATGTTTCTGTTTCGCCGGACACTTTCGACTCTCCAGCACTCCTATCTCCTGATCCATTCGAATTTTCAGCATTTCCACTTGCTTTTGTGGCCTCAGAGTTTGAAACCCTCTCTATATTCTCAGGAGAAGCAGATGACGAGATTCCATACTGCCGAAATGGAGTAGCATGGAAGGTGAACTGATTAGTGGGTACCGCCTGATGGAGCCAAGATTAGATGTGAAACCAACTCGAAAAAAAATGTCAGGTAGTTCGAGATTTATGTCACTGAAGGAGAAATCAAACTATTTCTGGGGAATCCTACAAGATCCATTCTTTCTATTCTTTTTTTCTCTGACAGAGCAATATAGAGGACATCGAATGGTCGCACAAGCGCACAAAACCAGTAGTTGAAACAGACGCTGAGAATTCCGTCCATCTAAAGGTGCCATCTTCAACAATTAATAGACACAAGGACGACGACCGAACCTTACTCGAGACAATTATTACACCACTCGACCCCAACTAACAAAATAAATTCCCAGTGCTCAACTCAACCACGACAGCCTTGAGCTTTGTCGATAAGGCACTGCCAGAGCTCGACTAAACGCAACTCAACTAACATGAAGCACACAAGAAGTCGATCGTTTGTTTAGCCTCGCGAGCGGATGGAGTCCCGTATCATAATGCTCAAACCCAATAACGCAATAACCAATAAGTTTGTACCCTAGCCACTTACAGACCGCCACTCCAAATCAATCAGAATCCAATCAATCAATCCACGAAGGGAGACCGAAATCCTAAAAGCGCGACAAATTCACAATCAAATGAAATTGAAGGAAGCCACACGAAGAACTGAAACTAGAAGACCATTTAAAAAAAACAGCCGCAGACGCCGACGGGTTCTCTCGAGTTACCTTGCTCGGAGGACCGCACGCGAGCGGGCGACACTGATCGGAGACGAGCGGCGGGGGACGCGTTCCGGGAGGAGGAGGAGAAGGCAGGAGGAGGGAGGCGGTCCGGCTCGCGCTCCGGGAAGAGCGGGACAGGATCCTCGACAGCAACATTTTTGCTGGCTCCGATTGAAGGACAAATTCCGGAAGCCGAGAACTTTTGCTAGGGAACGAGCGGTGCAGGACGAGAGACGGTGGGGGTTTTCGAACGGAGCGGAACGTGCGTGGACGACAAGACAACGGAGGGTTTAAGGAAAAAAACCAACTGAACATCATCAAACTGCTCTTCGTGCGAAACGTTGTCGTTTTCTTTGCGTTGTGGAGGGACAAGGCCAAGTAGAAGAGGTGGCCACTTGGATTTATACATATCCAAGAGTAGCTAGCTGCGTCTCCGTTGGAAGTCTCCAGAACCTTTCTCTCCACGAAACTGAAAAAACGCCGTCGCAATTTTGCATGTATTTAATTATTACAAAAAGTTGCCAATAGACATGCGGCTTTGTTGATAAAGAGATTGGGAGATGAAGACACTAGTATTACTAGTGCGGATTGGTGCGAGATTCGATTAATAGACTATCACTGATGCGGGCTGGTGCGGAGTTCGAGTTCTGCTCTCTGTATGAGACAGAGCAAAAGTCTGAGATAGAAAGAGAGGAGAGTTGGATAGAGGATAGATAAAAAAAAAAATGACATAAAGTTATTGGCTTTTTCATCAAAACTCAAATTATTACTTATATTTTGAAGAGATTATAAAGATGTAATATTTGGATCAATGTGTCAAACACTATTGTCTTTCAAAAAATTTTTGGGTTTTCCACCCTAAAAAAAAGATTAAATCATGCGAGCTGCTACATTTTTTCAAAAAGCGAGAAATCAAAGGCACAATTCATGACAAATTTTCGTGGTGATCATGTTGACACCGTTAAAATTAACAAGGAGAGATTGGATTTGCCAAAACCACTTCACTTCCGTTATCATATAGAAAAGTCCATGTATTGAAAACTACTTTCTTTACCTATTTATTTGGTTAGTCAAAAGAATTAAGTAAATGAGAAAGAATTAAGTTCCTCATTTGCCATGGTTTTGAGACTTACTAGACAAAAACCAAATTAGGAATCAATTGCACCCGCGAAGTGGACCGGCACTTAGGAAGTTCGGAGCATAAAACTACTTGGTTCGATTCCACTTTCTATTCGGGCTTTTTTTTTTTTGGGGGCTAGAAGTAAACTTTTCATTTCAAACAAAGCATTACTAACAGAATGCGCTTTTTATTCGAACCAAATAATGCACCCAAATGTAGAATGGGAGACACCAAACTCATCCCAACACAACTTCATTCCTTACAAGTTTTCCCCTGCTTTCTCCAATCCATTTCTTGCATGAATTCAATGCTAATTGCACGATCAGGGATCAAGTTGATGATCAATCATCCAGGCGAGGTATCTATCCGTCCCACATGGCATGTTGATGTGATCGCCTCATGAATGGTAAAGCGGCATGAACTGTTTAGGTTTGGAATGGCGATACCATGGACTAGAATTAGAGATAAGCGAACCTCGAAAAGATTGTCAATTAGAACCCCAAGAATCACAGAGCTTCATGTTAATATTGGTCGAGCTTTACCGTAATACTTCTTCAGGAGAACAGCTAACCATTACTAAAATTGATCTGACATGGCTGAATGAGCCAAACATTGCATGTCACCGGAATGGCATGCGTTAAGTAAACACAGACATAAACCTTGTTTGCACAAAACCAACCATCCATAGAAGATTTCCCACCTTCAGTTTGTAGCAACCAAACCGGCAAAGATGCATTTGATGGAAACAGTATCAACAAAGTAAAAGATTGACAAGAGATCCTCCATCGGTATCGCTAAGTAAGCTGAGTCTAAAGCTCCATCGAGATTATTTACAAAAAGAAATGCGAGCCAGTTGACTTCCTCCCGTTGCCAACGATGCTAGGTTACATCACCAAAATCACCCTTTTCACGAAAATGTCTGCTTTAAATCAACTCAGATTGTCACCACACCCCATGGAAACAGGATGGATTCACTCTGCTTCACACACGAACTGGGTCCATATCGCTATCACAAACATGCAATGTGCAGCAAGAGTGAGCCATCACAAGGAACGTTGAATACACCAAAGTCATCGATTACACTAAAAAAGTAAGTTGCCCAGATATATCAATGCATCTACACGCACATTAAAGATCGAATGACATCACAAAATCCGGTGCATATGCAACCCATCATATTGGTCAATTCTGGGCACATAATGTTCATCACGAGATACAGCAATTGTGAAGCTTAGAAAGTATTAAGAGTTGAATGTGTAATGCATTCCTGCTTTTCACCTATTAAACTCAACGTTTATTTGTTTTGTCCCCCATAAAGCCCTTAATGTTTCCCCACAACTAGACTAGAGAAGTTTCTGACTAATTGCTTCGCTTTTAGTCATTGCTATCATAATTGACTCACATTGCAGGATCTTCACATAACAAAGATTTGAACCCTATGCACATCTCGGCTTCATATTTATCTTTTCTCGAAAATCTCAAGCTACAAATAGCAGAGACTTAACCAGGAGGTCCATACAAATACATCGAGTCTCAGTAGAGATGCAAAAATCGCCTCTTCGAAGAGCACGTTTCTGAACTGGGCCATCATATTCAGTCAAGCTAGCTATGAAAACAAAAGTTCCCCCCAGTTGAGGACACTTCACTTTCCAGATGCTCAAACTCAAGCCACATGAAAGAGATAGCCACTTCATCATGCATACATGAATAGGAGTGACAGAACGAAATGGCAAATGCCCACAGAGGACGCAATTACACAGGGGATCAATATGGATCCTCAGAATAAACCTCATGAATTCATTTGGGCACTTTCGGAAAGAGCAGTTTGACCAAGGCCGGAAGCTCAGCGAGTTCAACTTGTGGCTTGCCTAACAATATCCTTTTCAACTTCTCGTCACAGTTCACCACATTCTTGTTGTTAGGATCCTGCTCACAGAAACAATCGACACATATTTCAGATAACCAATACAGCACAACTCACGCAAGCGAAGACATAATCTCAATTAAAGCAGGACTCCAAAAACAGATAAAACGACCACCAAACGCGACGAAGTTTCACTCAGCAGCACAAACTCGCGGCAATTTCGGCAGAATAATTAACGCGTTACAAAGTTTCTCTACACATTCAAGCAGTGCCAAGAAGCTGCACATCCGATCAGTCACACGCAAATTGCTTGATCCCAAAAAACAATTGCTTGCCCGCAGTCAGTCACCAATACCCCATTTGCTCGCAAGCAATAGTTTCGCCTGAAAAAGGAAAACTATCGAGTATAGCTAAACTTCATCAAGATCAATGCATGGACACTAACCCCCCTGACCAAAACTACTCACAGCCAGATACTTCAATGTTCATAGTGACTTCACCATCCAATTCAAACAGGACAAAGCCCTAGACGAACAGACCCAAATCCAACTCCTAACTGACAATTCACTGCACGAATCGCATGATAAACATGAGGGACTCGTTCCGAAAGTCGTCCAACACACCGAATGAACGCTAGCACGTGCTTCCCTTCACAGGAGACCCGTACTTGCAGGAGGAGCGAGCGACTGACCTGGAGGTTGTTGGACTTGATGTGAGACCAGACGCGCATGAAGCAGCCGAGGTGGGAGATTTGGGACTGACCCACGAAGTCGCGCACGGTGGAGGGCAGGTTCACGAGGTCGATGAGGCTGGCGAGCCTCTTCGGGTTGTCGGCGACGGCCTTCTTCATCCTCTGCGGTAACATCTTTCCCCTTCTCCTTCGCTCGCAGTCCCCACGCAGCGAGAGGCGGCGCCAGCCAGTTTAGCGCTCGCGAGATTAGAGGTTAATTGAGAGTCGGCTCGCGGACGGGTCTGTTTTCACATTTAAATTTCTCAAAGTTCTTACCTTTTAATTCACCAAAAATACCCAAGACAATTTTTTTTTGTTGCCTCAGAATTCTAAACATAGGATTAAAATCTTCTCATTTTCAAATTTTAAAGAGAAAAAGAAATAATTAGTGGAAGTAAGAAAAAGTTTTTTTTTAATGGCTTTCGCATAGGCTGGCCTTGGATTTAAAGAAGAAAAAAAAAATGGGCTTGCCGCCTCGTGCATGGAGGGGCGGATGGGTTTAGATGAAAAGAAGGAAACGGAGCGTGAAGGCCACTAGATATGAAGGACACCACGTGTGCATATGCTCACAGCAAAACCAACTAATGATAGATTTGTCATTTCTAAAGGTGGAACTAGAACCGTAAAATGGAAGAGTCGGGTCGATAGGGGTCTGTCGGTTCGGTCTGAAACCGAAATCGGAAATCGGGCTGATATTCATCGGTCCTAAATTTTAGGAATGAAAAATTGTCCAGAATCATCCGGTTCGGTCCGATTCTTCTGTGCACGCCTACCTCGAACTTTTCCAAAAAACGCAGCAGCAACAGCATGCTTGCTGCGATGATAGAGTTACTAGTTAAGCCGGAAAATGAAATCCCTCGGAAATGTCCATGTCAGATAACAGGAGACAGCCCAACAAAGAACATTCCCCCCTGGAGACAACATGTGCGGGGCAGTCCATAACCTGGAGGCTGGGGTCATCTCTGACGGCCTAACTTTCAAGGTTCGTCCATCAGATTTCAAAGCTAACTTGATTCCAAAGCAACTGCAAGGGCTTCAATCGAATACCCCATTGAACATGGAGTTTACCTGAATGGATTCATTTCAATCGATTCATCGATCACGAATAATAAACGTTTAGAAACTCAAAGTGAGAATTTCAGAAATTTAACGTCGAACAATCTCCGATGAGATGATACTTGAGTAAACATTGGACAATCATCACCCAATTGAGCTGAACTCACGTGATCATAAACCCAAGATAAATTACAAAAAGAATGTAATAAGATGATCATATTCTACATAGGTGGATATTACAGGCCGGACTACATGGGTGGATATTACAGGTCGGAAATAGGGAGGGAGGAAGAAAATGAACAGAACGCCTTTACATGCACATCTCTCTCTCTCTCTCTCTCTCTCTCTCTCTCTCTCTCTCTCTCTCTCTCTCAAACCCCGAATGCTCCATTCCTCAAGATAATGCCAATGGTCTCCCTCTGCGCTGCAACTGGTGCGGCATAAGTTTCTCTTAAACCCGAATGCTCGATTTTCTCAAGATATGCCGATGGTCTTTCCGAGCAACCAAAGCACTAGGGAGAGCTCAATGCCAAATATGGTGTGCAGAGTACTCCTGTCTAACGTGAATCCGTACACTGTTATCCCCGCCCGGTTGTTCTCGAAGTATTTCACTGCCATTAGGAAAGGAACTCGGTCAGCAAAACAACCATCCTGCGCTCTATTAAAAGCATCAATTCTAATGTGAGATGAGATATGCAATGGGGACATAATGGTCCCTTGATACCATCACTTTTGTTGCTGCCGACTGTGTAAATGTGCAAAAACCATACAGTGATCGTGAATGTCAAAGATTTCTTCGCTGTACTTTGACATTCATTCGACAATTACGCTCAACCTCAACATAAGTGGCAGGTGAATTCTAGCTCCCCATATCAGGATGACAAGGACTACCAAGCGATCAGTTACTACAAAAGGTCAATAAGTCGATGATAAGCCTTTCTGCACTAATATTTGCTTCCACTCATAGTTATTAGAGTCGTTTTTGTACTATTTGTCAAAATTATTACTAGGACATGCTTCCATTCAAGTTAAGGTTAAGCAAATCATTCTTCGAATTAAAGTAAAGGGTTAAAAGGACTTACCAAGGGCTTCTCTTTTCTGGTATGAGATAGTACTATAAGCATACGCTGGGATCAAGTTGTTATTGTCCAAGTCATCTTCCTCATCACCAGCATCGTCACTATCTGATTCTGTACTGCTTACAGGAAAGGCTTGGCCATGGGCAGCCTGAGCCACCGGTGTCTCGCCATCGTTTGTCTCGAAAGAATCATCAAGTGTTGCACATACATGCCACTTTGCCGCAAGGCATGTCACGGACTGTGCTTTATGTGTAATTTTGGTTGCACTGCGCAACAAGATGAAGAGCCCAGCAACCAGAGTCATCGAGCAAAGCTGTACAATACAAATGTTACCCCCACTTAGTACGCTTAAAGCTGGAAAGTACTAAAAGAGAGGTGCTCGTGCACAAACTTATTTCATTATGTCACAAATTAATAATTTTTTAATTGGCATGAAAATCTGCAAATTTATCTCCGAATTAGAGTTCCTCACGAACAAGAAAGATGCAAATGAGTTTGTGAAGCCCCTTTCTTAGTGTTCAGAGTAAGGAACTTACAGCCAATTCTCCTGCTCGGAAAATATTAACATCTGCAGTGGACTTGGTAGTGACGAGCAGAGAGGCAAACTGGCTTCCAGTGACCAAAACTAGAGCCCACAATATGAACGCACGGTACCTATGGCTTATGATCCGAAGGTGTCTCCTGATCCTTAGATGCTCAGATAGGACCGAAGCCACATCTGAGTCTACTTGAAACATCTGTGCAAAGTCTTGCAGTCGCAAGATCTGGAGAGAGCAGATCAGACGGAACAGTACACACACCAAGAAAATGACCATTGTGCGGTAGAGCCATGAGAAGAGCTCCATCATGCAAGCGACGGTGTCGCTCAGGTAAACATTCCCCAAGAAGGGTATTTGAGAGGCTCCTGAGGCATACCACCATATCTTATAAGCACTCTCAGCTGCAAAGCAGGGGATGACGAATATGGAGAGGATTTTCAATGATCTCTGCATACACGATGACATGTTTGTACATGTAAGGTAAAACACTATAGCTAGCAAAAATCTAGCATGTCATAACAGTATAGCTAGCAAAAACCTACCATATGACAAAGAGCAATCTTTCTTAGACCCCTTTCCTATTTGTTCTAGAGAAAAGACCTAAAAGTATGATCCTTACTCCAACGGTCATGAAAAGTTCATGTCAAGCAAGTGATCATCCAAGTTTCTATGATGATGTGAGGTCAACCCAATGCTCAAACTCACAACACGATCGTCAGAATGTAAAGCATCAATAGTCGAGCTTACAAATCACCGAAAATAGACATTCAATCAAGTGCAGCTGATTATACTTGTAAATTTGACAATCCTGCAAGCCATCATTTAACATATTCTCTCTTCTATCGTATTTTATGGGATCCAACCCCATATCACCGTGTTCTGTTCATTTTTGAACTCATGCGAAAGACTGCAATTTTTGTGAGTTGAACCTAATATAAGTTATACTCTTCATTCATCCCTGCTTGTTCAGATGACTTGACATTAATGAATTTCCTCTTGGAGAATCAAATAAGATCTGCACATCTATTATAGTACTTAATTGGTGGCAACACATACTTCTGATATGAATTATAAGTGCTTGCCCCACCGATTGCCAGAGATGGGAAGAGTTTTAACCTTCTTAGTGGAGAGCTGCATTGGATGTTTTGATCATCTGATGACAAGATAATATGTTCATCTTCGATCAAGTATTAGAAGTACGAGATTCCCAGCATTATATATATTTACTTATTTGGTTAACCGTTCATCCAGGAATCTGAACTGTTGGACCGTGTGGGCTTCACGTGGATCCCCTATAATCTAGTGATTTAGGTGCAGCTCAATCGAGCCAGGCTCTTGCAAGAATCAGATCACATGACACCACACCCGAAAGTCCCTATGCTCCAACATGGCACTCGATGTATACTCATTATCATCATACTGTGACAGACAGAGCCAATTTAAGCATATGAAAACGAGGCGGCGGCGAGCTGTTTTCTTGATACATGATCAGCTTGATCTAATAAAAAGAATCCATCAGTAACTTCCCGGTTGCCGGGAGATAACGGGATCTCTTTGCCTATCATCGATCGTCACCTCTCTCTCTCTCTCTCTCTCTCTCTCTCTCTCTCTCTCTCTCTCTCTCTCTCTCTCTCTCTCTCTCTCTCTCCCTCGCTGATGGATATCTGTCCCCACCAATCCTGTAATGCTACACTAGTCCAAGTTCATGCTTATCAACTTTACAGTCAAACACATCGAAGCTCATGATTAGTATAATGAAAAACAGAAACGCCGGCCCCATCGCGTTGGCCTAGAACCTTCTTATGCTCATCACCCTGTTCATCAGCTAGCAACGCATTCCAGAAGCTACGAGCGTTGGAAAACCCGCGAAAATCGATTACTACTGTCGTTCAAAAATTAGAGCGAATCCTCTGGTCAATTATACGTTAACATTTCCAATGGCAAATCAAGGAAAACTGAATTGGAAGATTAATCACATGTCACGAAAGCAGCATGCAGCTAATCAAGGTAAACATCGCAATCTGATGCAACAGAAACCAGAAGAACGTCATTACCGTCACAGACACGGAAATCACGAGAGAGAGAGCGAGAGCGTACATTGAGCTGCTCGGTGTAGCCCTTCCTCACCGTCTCGCTCTCGTCCCAAAGCTTGTCGAAGAAGAGAAACCTCCGCAGGCCGTACTTCCTCACGAACCGCGACAGGCAGACGAAGGAGAGCACCGCGACGCTGCTGAGCGACAGCTGGACGACGCCGTCGAAGGGCCTCGCGTGCTTGCCGTCGCAGCTGGCGCAGGCGAGCAGGAAGTGGGAGGCGATGGGGACGACGATCGCGAAGACGAAGAACACGGACCAGGAGAGGCAGGCGGACCACGCGTCGGACTGGTCCACGCACATCCACCGGAGGTAGGACCGGAAGCTCTGCAGCTCGTCCTGCGGGTGCGAGGCGCAGCGCGCGAACGTGACGCTCCGGTTGCGGCTGCCGCTGTTGCTGCTGATCAGAGCCTCTCGGTCGTCTGCCATGGCGGATGGCGACGGGGAACAGGGCGACTCTCCTCCTCCGAGGAAGCGGGGGGCGA